AGAGATGATGTTCACCTAAAAAATGATAAACGCACCATGGACACAAAATGTTGTAATAAAAACAACGAATATGAGGACAAAATTCCGAATATAAATGGTGTAAATAATGACAACTTCTCCTTCCAGAATTTCAAATTATTTCATACAAATTTATCAAACGAAACTTATTCTTTATTCACATCAAAAAGCAGACATAATTATAATAGTGTCTGAATTTACATGTAGTTAAAAAAAATCCAACAAAATTGTGATTCATATAAGAAAATTTAATGAAATTTTGCATATCACAAAATATGTTAATTATATGTATTATTAAGAGGCAAAATTACGGCGATCTATTCATTTGTTTAGTATCTTGAATATTAAAGATCACGGAGATAAGGCACTTTCACTGATAAGATCAGAAGAACTAAACATTTACAGCACATTCAAATACACATTATAACATCGATTAAAATTTTTAGAGAATACTAGCAGCATGGCCCGGCGTTGCTTGTGCTTGATTCAAAAATCGTACGACATATACAGCAATCGCTATCACTAGAGTTAAAATATTTTTGCCCTTTCTTGCCTTTAAAGGAGTGCTCTTTGCCATGCTGATGTTGCTATATGACTTCTTGCCTATCTCAAACTGCGAATTTTTTCTAGGCTCTATACTAAACATTAAATCTGTTACGAAAAAAGAACTAAACAAAATGAACACAAAACGATCAGCTTTCAAAAAGGATTCGTAATTGGAAAAACCGAATGAAAAAAGAATATTAACAAAAAATACTTTTTCACACCCAACCCAGTTCTGCGGTATCAGAATCAACGTTGAGTTTAAGCAAGCGAATGAGCCAATTGGAGTAAAGTGCCATGCAGATTTACATTTTCCCCACTTGTGACGAATGCAGCTATCGATATTTTTGCATGCTAGCATGCTAGTTAACATTGGTGTCAGTCAGCTGTTGGCTCTCACGCTGGCCAATAGAATCTTCTTGCCTATTCGTGGCAGCCGGCTATAGGTACTCACTCTGGCCAGTAGAAAATGGCCGTGTGACGTCAACCCGTCTGTCTGCCCCGTCGCCGTCCTATCCTGCGACGACCAATGTGACTTGGTATTGATCGCGGCACCAAACGTGACGTTCTAACCCTTTGCTGATTCGGGTGGGAATCTAGTTAGATTCGGCATCAGCCTTGTCGTTCCCAGCTCGCCTCCAACGTCTGGTTACCGAAGTAACTGCTTTGATTTCTAATCTAACCTAGCCACGTTGTGATTTGATCTTAGGTAGACGAAATCAATCAGTCGCCGAGCCGCAATGCAAGTCGAGTCCGAACAAGGGTAAAACCGCACAAGTATATGTAAAAAAAAAATAACGTAACAACTCGAAAATTTCAAATGTGTTAAAAAAGAATAACAATATTTTATATCTGGTTGCTGAATAAAGGACTGAGTTTTCTCCCAAACCGCTAATATGGATTCGTGACACCTTACGTTTGTTAGGCGAATCTTAACATCTTAAGTTGTTTTTTTTTTTAAGAAACTGGTTTTTGGTGTATCTTCAGGCGATATTCGTAAAACTTGTTTTGGTGGTGTGAGTCTAAGTAGTTCTTCAAAAATAAATTGTTCTTGGTTAGAAGTTGAGGTCGAGAATGCGTGAGATCTCAGTCAGCTTTCTGCGAGGCGGGTCTCAGAGCTCACAGCTCAACTGCAACTAAATTCTCTCTCAACTCAACTTCCAACTCCAACTCAACTCTACTGCTTTCTTGTCTTTACAACCCTAACTGCCGTCCACTCACTGCGACTCTGCTTATATGGACGCCGACCAAAACCGGGGTGGGCTTGTCGGGGTTTGAGGTTCCTTGATAATTCTAAATCCACAATAAGGATCTTCTTTGTTCTCGGATAGGAAAATTTATTACTTTCCATTTTTGGAAGTCCTTACTTTCTACTTAAAGGGAATCGTCCTCTCAAATTCTTCCTTTCTCATATTGGTATCTCACACCAATCTCCTCAGAGGGCGTCAACAGTTTCCCCTCTCTCTCACAGTGGCATCTCATACCAATCCCTTCAGGGGGCGTCAACAGGCCTCCCATCCTTCTTCATAGTTTACCTTCGCCTACCGCTCACGCCACCCTTCAGCCAATGAACGCTCAGTAGCGTGGGTGTTTGCAATTATCGCTCAAAGGAAAAAAAATATCTTCTTTTCTTTCTTTTCTTTTTCTTTCTTTTCCACGAGCAGACCTCACAGGACTCGTAGGATAGTCCCAAATCTCTATCTTAACGAATTCTCGGTCAGTGCATGACCTAATTAATTTTATCTCTTAGCATTCTGCCTTGTAGGCCACTTGACCAATTTGAAATTTTCATTATTGCCATGGACAGATTGCTATCTTCTTTCGCCGCGCTGTAACATAAATTAATTCGACAGATCCGGTATCTTACTTTCTTCGCTAATGAAAATAAAATCTTTACCACTTTTCTTTATTAGAAAAAATAACATCGCTCAGTGTCTTTTCGTGATAGCTTCTTATCACCTAAATTAATTCTCGCCTTTTTTTTTCACGAAACCCTAAATAGTGTCACAGCCGAAAACTACATGAAAACTGACGTAGAAGCCTGAAAAATCAAATATTTCCACTATCGTTGGGAAA